GAGGCTGAAAAAATCCAACCGGACAGTTCACAACATCATCAAAGACAATATTAATTGAAAAAATAGTTTGTTGAGAATGGAAAACACTCAAATAAATAAGATTAAATTAGCTCCAAGTCATTGAGAGGCTGAGACAATCATCTTATTTGGCAGGATAGTTAAAAACATCATCAAAGGGCAATAAGACTGCCTTATTCAATCCTACAAGTAGATGAATTCACGCCTCAGAGCAGCTGATTTTCAACCCATGGAAAAGCCATTCACTGACATCCCTCCATCAATGCATATGACTTGTCCTGTTAAGAAACCTGGTGCAGGCAAGCATAGAAAGGCGACAACAGAAGAGACCTCCCCTGGTTCCCCAACGCGTTTCATGGGGGTTCGATTGAAAACCTCCTTCAGAATGTTCTCATCATCCAGACTCTGAATGGTTAAGGAAAAGCATTAGATAACTCATGATCACAGAAAAACTAGCTTGATAATAACAAATGTGTTGCTGACGTTAATTAATCTAATTCACCTAGCTCCTAAGACTGATTATTGCAGAACTGAAGCAATAAAAATGTTCGATAAGATAATCATATTGCTGAACTGAGCGTCTCGCGTTAGTTCAGAACAATCCACCTATGTTGTTGCACTTGTGCAATGAGAATTGAATGGGAAAAACATGTAGAAAGGAGATCAAACGTTAATTAGAGAACTCGTGAGTTTGTAGAATGTTGTACAGGTGTTGTGAGAGGAGTTCGTATGAACCAGGGAGCAACTGCGTTAACCCTTATATTGTCCTTAGCCCATTCGCACGCCAAATTCCTTGTAAGTTGGTTCATTGCACCTGCAGTATACATGTCATGACAGGTCCTAAGAGAACAAGGTTTTGCAGTAGAAACAGAAGGAAAATTAAAATGAGAAAACAGGTCTAGAGAAGTAGTTAAGTACCTTTAGAAGCTGAATACAAAGGATACTGAGTGTTTATAGATACCACACTAGTAATGGAAGACATGAAGACAATCTTTCCAGCACCTGAAGCTTTCAAAAGGGGATGTGCAAGTTGGGACAAATGGAAAGCAGATTGAAGGTTTGTGTTCATGAGAGATGTGAAATCCTCAGCTGTGTAATCTAAGGTCGCTTTATATATGTTTGTCCCAGCATTGTTTACCTGGAGATTTGGAAGAGTTTAAAAGGCTATTGATTGAAATTAATAAAACAATACTTATTTGTGCACAATCAAGTTATATGCATTTATGCTACAACAAATAAGGGTTCTTAATTAAGTTATATTAATAACTGTTTTCATTTTCACTTTCCTTGAAACTTTCTTAGGATCATTGGAACAGCTATCAATCGCAGTTCTCTTTTCCCGTAAAAAATGCCTATTGTTTTATACCAAAGGCCCTGTAGAACTTCCCTCATAATATTACTAGCCCTTCTTCGAGTACTGTGAATGCGTTAAGAAACAAGAAAGAAACAGAGTTGGATTTTACTCACAAGGATATTAAGTTTACCATCAAAGCGAGAGGAAACCTCCTCCATCAGCTTCTCTCTTTCAGCATCAGAGGATACATCACAGACTGAACCAGTAACTTTAAAACCCTTCTCATTCCATTCACGGATGCGTTCATTGAGCTGTTCTTGGTTCCTCGCACATGTATGCACGATTGCCCCTAGCGCTGCCAACTCGTCCACAACAGCATAACTGTTCATAATGCATTAGCAAACAAGTGTTGCTGTTATGACTGATTCCAACGGTAAGCTGATAAATGTCTATACAATGGAGCCCAAAATCAGGAATATATAAGCTAGCGATGACTGTGAGCTAGAACTAAAGGAAGCAAGGTGTTCAAGAGTAGAAGGAAAATTAGAGATGATTACCCAATCCCTTTGGTTCCACCAGTGACAAGAGCCGTCATTCCTTGGAGAGACCATCTCTTCTCCATGCTATTGCTTTCTGGTTTGGATATCTTCTCTGATCTAATCTTCAAGTTCAATGCATGTAAGCTATAATTACTAAAACTTGCTAGAATAAAATAAGAAGTGGTAAGAAATTTTAAGGTCAGTTTCACTAAGAAAACTGTTTTTTTTTTCAAAGTAAAGTTGAAACATGTATTCATTTGTTTATGATGAAGTTGGATTCTCAAGAAAATTATAACTGTTTTTTATAAAAAAATCAAAAATATAATTTTAATAATTTTATTTATAATAATTTAATTATGAAATATTAATTTGGTTTATTTAAATTAATATCTACCATAAAAATATATTATTTTTAGTTAATAAATATTTATAATAAAATATAGTTATTAAACTCGTACTAGTTGAGCAGTCAACTTGAAAATCAGTCGATCCAGTTGCTAAATTGATTTGGATTTATTAAAAGATCAGCTAATACAACAATCCAGCAAAACCCGTGCGACTTAGAGGATTAACTCATGACCCAAGCAACCTGGACAAACCAGACAAGACCCGGTGTTCATTTTTTTCTTTTCAAATGTGGTTTCTGTGTAGACTTGGAAAGGAGAAGTTTTGGCCAAAAGGCCAGGGGATTACTGAGAGAGGGATGAGGGAAGTTGTGGCCGGGCACATCTGCAGTCTCAGAAACACCATTAATACTTCTCCCCATCTTACCACAAGCCTTAGAATCTCATATACAAGAGCTAATCTTGC